CTAAAATCACCAAGCGGTTTCGTAAGGTGTCGTAAAGCCACTCCCTTGCTCAACGTGGCACGCAAAAACTGGGATCATAGTGATAGTAAAGTTGTGGACCCATGAGGTGTGTGCCAAGACCCCTTCGTGATGCCAGTTGTGGTAATGGGTCCACATGAGTAAGCTTATGCAATGCAACAACAGGGAACTATGTGCGGTGTGGCGAATCCACACCGCACATAGTGTCCCTGTTGTCACATGCAAGCATACGGATATCGTTCCTCATGTGGATGTGGTAAATGCAAATAAGTTTTGTCGAAATCATGAGTTGGGTCTGCCATATATTTCCCGTGCATTAAAATTTCCGTGCGTGGGAAGTCTACGGCAGTGCTTCCGAAATCTGTCTAGTATGTACCATGCAGTTTGGGTTGTATCATCCTACAGTAGTACACGTAGTATTGTGAATTCGCTAAAAACTTCCCAAAATTCACGTGGTTTGTCTACTCAATATCGAATCACGCTGTAGTTCTGATTGGTTGAAAATATATTGTAAGAGCCAATCAAATCCAATCAAAATTGGATTAGCCAATAGAGTAGATTCGTGATTCGGCAGCGAGATTCGATACGACGAGGTCTGGAAATCTATACCGAATCCACAATACTCCTCTGGTATCGTTTTGATATCTATTAATAGTCATAGTTACAAGTGCCCTATCATCATTCTCCCTTCATAGCTTGTTCTCGTTTCACTAGTCCTTGCTGTAATGACCAGCGAAGCCAGTCTTCTTGGTCTGTTGGGTCCACGGCTAAATACGAATGGGCATACCTTCCCTGGGACAAAAGGTTTACTGCAGCCATGTACTGGTCCCCCAGCTGACTTTTCCACGCCTTGACTTGGCGGCAAGCTTCCTTTCGAGTGCCCAAGTCCGACATCCCCCCAGCCTTGTCGTCGGCACTGTCGTCGCCTGTCAGATCCACCACTTAGTTGTTTTTGGCCACCGCAACGTTGTTCCTTGGAAGGCCTTGATGCTCCAGCTTCATACGTTTGAGAACGGATGGGTTGCCTTCAGCCTTGACATGTACTGGCTCGGCAGCCACTGGAACAATTGGAAGCTCAGCAGCGACAGGAACGCTCGGAAGGGGTGGTGGAGTCGCGGGTAGTTGGATCGAAGATGGTGGGGATGGTGGTGGTTAAATGCCGTCAGCCACCATCGCGTCTACATGACAATCCTTGGTACTCAAAATAGAACCTACCGTGTACAGTATACTACCTCGCGTCTTGTACAGGAAACGAAACGTGTGTAGAACTTTTCCCTGTCGACCGTGATAAAAGTTCGTCGAGACCTTCGTTGGCATGTGACGCGGGCTGACTCTGCACAACACAACAACGATATTTTAGTCGACACATCGTCGCATAGTTATCGAACCCTGTTGTCGATGTCAAGAACACGCCTTCCTTCGTGTCGGTGCCAATGGCTGGTGTCGAGTACGGATGATCAGCAATGACCACATCGTCTTGCTTGGCCTTGGATATCGACGAGGTAATGTAGATATACATTCAATCGACGAACCTGCCTACATCCTTCAATTTGGACGAACACGAAATTCCGTCGTCGGTCACGTGGGGTGCACAAAACACAAAGTTCTGCTCAACGGTGCCACGACCACTGCGCAGTCGCAAGTGTTTCACCGACCCAACAGTAACAAGGCGAGACGTAGTAGCAGCTTGACCATCGATGGAAATGGTAGCCTTCATGCAATTGAGTGCTTTCGTTATGCCGGTGGACAGTCGCTTGAGTATCGTTGGCTGTGGTCGCGTATTCGTACAGCGCACGAAGTACTCCGCTCCAATCTTGGCCTCGATGTTACGTCGAACTGGACAGGCCATCTTCATTGAGCGTAGTGGCGTACTCTTTGGCAGAGGAAGCTCTGCTGGATGCCGCCTCCTGAACCATCACCACCACGTCCATGTCGTCCAACTTCATTCGTCCCAGGAAACTCAAGAGTACAGTATTAATAGTAGTACTACTATTAATAGTAGTACCTGTACTACTGAATTTTAAGGCAATTTTCATGCTTTTCTGTTGGCACTTTCTCAAAATGTCATTTAGGGTTTTGTTTTGAAATGACATTTTACGAGTGTGGGTTTACGTCAAAGCGCACATTTGCATAAACTGTACTAGTAAGTTGCGTCAACTACAGCAAATCTCTATGTACGATAATAAATGCCATCTTTATCACGAACCCCTTCCAGTTGCTCTGGTGCTTTACATGATCAGCCTGCGTATTGATGATCTGCCCACCGCCTACGCCCTCAACCTTCAAACCCGCCCGTGACCTTGGCCCTTGGGTTTTCACCGCCTTTGTTGGCTGGGGATTGGGTGTACCAACTACTACTGTTGGATCCTCATATCGTCTCCATTGTCGGTGCCATTGCCGAGGGCTTACACGGTCGCCATGTTCAATTAACACGACCAACAAGGCAACCACAACCATCAAAGTGCTCAACGGCTACTTAGTGTCGATATCCCCCCCACAGCGCTGTCTCGACGATTGCGGCCTAGGATTAACACATCGCCCGCTCGTTTTTGTCGTGGCAAACTGGAATTGTATTTCATGGCGCCGATATAGAACGCACTGGGGGGGGGGTATCATAGATGGAGCAACAGAGGGGGATTATATAGGCACGGAACACTCCTTAGCCTCGAGGTACTCACCTCATTGCCAAGTGGGATACGAGTATGTTCGGAATGTCTAGCTTTTGTACATAAACACACTGTAAAACGAACGATGTACTAGCTGTAAACTCACCAATGAACGCGGCTGTTCGAAGCTCTGCATGCCAGGCAGAAGCTGGTCGCTTAAATTGTCTGCAAGATTCAGCAATCCAGGTTGACCTGGCCCAACGACACACTGTTCTGCAGCGTGCAGAGCAATTGGGTCGCGCGTTAGTTTTACCCATTGCAAACACACACACACTGTGTGTGTGGCGTGTCAAAGGTTGCGATAACTTAGTGGAGGTACTGCGTACTTTAGTGAATGGTAGTCAGTAGGCGCCTCGTGGCGTGTTTAACCTCACTAATGTCAGTGTGTATATTTGCTGCCTTGACGAAGGTCCCGTGGCCGAAAGCCAAGAAGAAGCGGGAGACAAAACAAAGATATCTTTAGTTCATTGTTGAGCTATTCACTGGAGATGGTATGAGAACATTCCGTCGACGAGGACATGCCAACGAACGCCGAAGAACGATCGCGGTCGCGTGACCGGATCGAGGAGCCGCGAAGACGCGCCGCTCGGCGCACCGTTGAGAACCCGTTCAGATCTCCCCGACGACGACAGCCACCTGTTGTCGACGAGTGGCAACCGCCACGTAGTGGGTTTTACACCCCTGCCACAACCCAAGGAACAACAGCTGTCGCAGCGTTTGTCTCAGCTGCTGCTCCACC